CCCTGCTCCCTTCGGTACCCCGCAGGGTGTGGGGGGATGCTGGGAGGCCTGGGGAGAAGGGCAGGGATGAGGCAACCTCCTCCCGTGTCTCCTGGGGACAGCTCCAGCGTCTCCTTCACCCCAGGGATCCCCTCAGCGGGAGGGAGAAGTTTCCCCAAGGTCCCCTGTGGAACGAGGACCTGGGGTTTCTGGGTTTCTCCTCATTTTGTTGTACTCGGCTAATTTAGGCGTTAGGTTTGCTTGGTGCTTCTTGTTGACTTGTGCCGGTGTGAGGTGGCAGGTGACAGCTTAGCCGGAGCCCCTGCCGCTCTCCCCACAGGTGCTGGTGCAAACACACAAGTGTGTTGTGTTGCAGGTCACTTCATGGGGAAGAAGAGTGTCACCGGCTCCCCGCACCTGGAGTCGCCAGAAGAGCCTGCGGTGCCGATGGTCTTCGGTCCCTCTCTCAGAGCCTTGCTGGAGGACATGATGGAACTGCTTACCCGTGAGCTCCTGAAAATTCTCTTGCAAGAGAGACTTTTGGATGAAAACCAAGGAAAATATGACCTCACTGACCAGGTGAATACTGACTAAGACAGAGGGAGATGCTCAGAGCAGGGAGGTGGTGGAGATGTTAGTCTGCAACAGGCAGCCTTGCTGGAGATGGGAGCATCTGCACAGCTGCTAGAGGTGTATCCCCCCTTTTTGCTTCTCTTAACCCTCCTCAAACCACTTCTTAAGACCAGCCACAAAGGGGCAGAGGAGAAGTCTCCCTAGGCTTGTGTCTAGCTGGGCGGTGGCTAATAGTCCCAAATGCTTGGGAAGGGTGTGAGGATGAGCAAGGGATGCTGCGATGGAGCTGTGGCAGTGGTGGTCCCCAGCCCGAGGGCTGTTAATAAGCATCTGGGTCTTCCTCAGCCAGGTGCAGAAGAGGATGGCTGGCCACTGTCTTCACTGCCATGAAGAAATGTCCCCTTTTTCAGCCACCGCAGGGACAAGGAGATCCTTTCTTCCCTTTATCTCTGTAGAGAGAGGCCAAGAGGGACACACCTCCATGTGTGAAGGGAAAGGAGTCTGTCCTGCAAAGAGGTCTTGGGCGTCCAATGTCCCTATCTTGGGTCTGTGTTGCTGTGGTTGGGATCCCTCGTTACTGAGGCGCATGTAGCTTTGTTAGCTTACTGTGCAGAGGAGGTCTGTGTTCGTCGTACTGCTGTAGAGCAGGTCTCGGGGAGTGGGCAGGAGCTCCGGTAGTCCCACTGTGCGTCAGCAGATCCTCAGCCTCCTCGGTGTGGCTTTTGCCGTGGAGCTCACCCAGCTCCTAGTGGAAACCTGCCCCTGGGAGCAGTATGCACACACAGATCCTCACACAGGACGTGGAGATGGAATTGCTCTGTCCGTGTGGCTCTGCTTGTCTGTTGCCTGATGCATGCTTCCCTGGTGTCTCGCCTTTTCAAGTCACTGCAGGAAGCAACTGAGAGTCTAAAAGGGATGAAATCCTCTTAGGTGGGTCCTACATGTGCTGTCCCACTGAGCTGCTGTACTTGAGGAGCTATTCAGTAACACTGCACACAGGTAAAGCTACTTCTGTTCTCTAGGTTTAGGCAGTGCTTCTTCCTGTTCTTGGCTTTTTTTGGGAAGACACAGGTGGAGCAGCGTTGCAGGGATGCGAGCCTGAGTGCTGCTGATTGTTCAAGCACCTTCTTGACTCAGTTTCATCAGACTAAGGTAAATTGAGGCTTTCCTAGAGAGCTGGTCCCATTGGGATAGAAGGCTTTCCACCCTGAAGATACAGCTGGGCATGGCTGGAGACACCAGCCCACCCTGCTCCCCTTGAGATGCTGCGTGCCGTGACTGCTGCGCTGCTGCAGCTTTTGCTTCTCAGATGCAGCTGAAAGGGAGGAGAGGGCTGTGAAGGTGCTGGACCCTTCTCCATCCTCTGTGGGGAGCCTTTGAGGAGGAGGAGGGTATTTGCCATGTTAACTGAGATGATGGGGGAGCTGGTGGATGCGCTGCCCTGCCTTGTCCGCTAAGCGTGCAGTGTTTGACAGAAGCGATCCTTGTGGCTCTCCTCTGCGTAGGTAAGTTGCACGGTCACTGCTCGCATTGCAGATGTGCTTGGGCAGAGGCTGCCCTGAGTGCTGGTGCTGTCTTAGGCTGCCAGCTCAGTGCTGGCACCCCACCGGTCCTGTCCGTGCTCGTTCCTGGTGCTTGAAGGCAGGTCCTGGCCAGGGGTAGCACCCAGCACCAGACATCAGCCTTTGGTGCCTGCGTGCTGGTTGCTGAAGCTCTGCTGCTGGAGGGCGATTTGGCTCCTGGTCAAGCAGATGCTGCCAGCTGCCTTTCCCACTGCCCTGATGCCTCTCTGGTGGGAGGAGGGATGCCCTGCACAAATGTGTGAACATCGCGGCTTAGGTGCCTGATGTGCAGCTGGCTCCTACCCCCTTCCTCCTCCTCCCAAAGCCTCCCGGCCTCTCCTTGGCCAGTGCCAGCTGTCCTCTCGGTGGCAGTGGAGACCTTGCTGGGTGATGGGTCTGGTTCTGCCCATCAGGCACCCCCGGGCACCTCACTAGACTCAACTCCAGCCTGCCTGCTCCTTTCTTTGCCACCCGTCCCCCGGGGCATCTTTGCCTCTGCTGGTTGATACTGCAGGACTGGTGCCTTTGAGTGCTGTCTATGTCATACTTTTCTGTGGGATCCTATTTTTTTTTCTTGTGGGTGACACGGTGCCAGTGCAAATTCCTGCCTCCCTGACAGGTTTCTCCTTCAGTGTGGCTGTTGTTGGACACCTGGGGTCAGCACCTAGCCTGTGTTTGAACTGATCAGTGTGTCATGTTCGCCACCTGCCTAACAAGCTGTTTAATAGCTCTGCTCTGTGGAACTCTGTCCACTCCCTGCTTGGGATCTGTCGCTTCCATCTCAACTCAGTTTAGTAAAACAAAAGTGCTTCTCCCTTCCTTGGTCACCAAGGCAGGAATTAACGTGCTCTCCAAGCGTTGCTCTGCTGCTCCGGCACACGTGGTGTGCTTTGTGGCAGGATACGTGTCAAGGGAACCTGACTTTTATTGAAAAAGCCACTGGGCATTTCCTTTTCTGAGGGTGTTGCTGATCATTCACAAATGGGTTCTTCCTTTCTGTGGGGCTCCTCTAAGCATTAAATAAATCCCAGGGCTTTGTCTTTTTGCTTGCTCTGCATTCGTGTGGGTTAGTTCTGGCTGCTGCGCTGGGGTTTGCCATCCCTCCGCAAAGCGGGAGCCCTTGCGATGGCAGAAGGGGTTTGCAAAACAGGGATTTCTGTTTTGTCTTTTTAACCACATCTGGCAGGCAGGGCTTGGCTCTCAGCACGCCAGGGCTTTGCGGTGCCACCCTGTTGCTGTGTGTGACAAGGATTTGGCTGGCAGAGGAGGATCATCCTCATCCCTTGTTGTCATCTTGGATGTGTGTCTGTCTCCTGGAGAAATACTGCCAGGCTGAGACCACGTGCGTGGAGTGGAATGGCTCCAGGGGTGTGGGGAGAGCCCTTCTGCATGAAGGCAGATGCTGCCCTGCGCAGCTCTGGGACCTCTGGGCAGTACGCAATCCCACAAAATCCCTCTGTAACTCTTCCCCGCTGTCTTTTGTGTCTCTCTGCCTTCTTGCACAGCTCTCTGCTGAATCAACCCCCGAGGCTGCTCCTGTTCCTGAAGCCCAGCCCGGTGGCTGCTGTCTGAGTGGGCTGGTGAAGTTTGCCAGCTGTGGTCCAGCTGTTGGAGCACAAGATGGGAGGCAGGGGCCAGGCTCCTGGCTCTTTCCTTCTCATGTGCTGTCCCAAGCCACCTCTGAAAGTGCCATCATGGTCCAGCACGGGACACTTGCCTGATCTTCTGCCCCATGGTACCCAGGCAGGTGATGTTGTTGGAGACTGCGTATGGGACCCAGTGTCTCACCATTGTGTCTTTTCTTGTAGGAGACAGGGCTTTTAACAAAGGTGCTGGAGAAGTATTTTTCAAACTGAAGAAGCGCAGCTGTGGAGGATGAGGTCTGCAGGCTCGGCCACGCGAGGCAAACGGAGGAGAGCATCGTCCTTGTGGGTTACTGTAGCAACATCACTTTTATTTATTCTTTCTGTAATATTGTTAATAGTGATTGCTTGTATGAAAAGCAGAGCCTCCCTGTATATTTCCTGTATGTTTTCTGCTTTCTTGATGTCTGGTGTGCCCCTGTGAATAAAACTGGCTCTTTGCAGAGACTAGCTCAGACCTTTCTGCAGAGGTGGGAAGGGAGACCCCCAGGGCCTGTGCCGGAAGAATGGGGGGTGGGAGCAGCTTGGTTGGGGGGTAGAGGGAAGCTCCTGGCTCTCAGCAGCAGGGAGGGGATTGGATTCAGTCCCTGCAGCCCCTCCTTGCTGAAGGAGACCCTAACTGCTGCATGACAAAAGGACAAGCTTGGATGAGCTGATTACACCGCTTGCTACTGGACCATCTTTATAACCCTCTTTGCTGGAGAGATTACCAGCAAACCCTCCTGAAAACAGAAAGCATCCTGCTCAGGGCATTGCTGGGATTTCTGCTTCAAGCAGGGTCCCTGCTTCATGGGAGCCCAGGGTTTACTGTAGGCCCAGTGGCCTTAGCTGGACCTTCTTCCGCTGTCCCTCACGTGCAGATGTGGACTGTTACACGCTCAGCCTGTTTATGTGCCTGCTTTGGGATGATTCCTTGTGTGTGTGGTCAAGGTATGACCCTGCCCGTGGTCCTCTCTTGTGCAGACAGTTGAAGAGGGCTGCCCAAAATGGGTGATGGAGCAACAGCCTTGTGCCCAGGCTCTGGTTCCACACCTGAAAGCGCTGCTCATAGATATACCCTCTGTCCCCCTGTCACCCCTGGGGACATCCCCAGGCAGAACTGAACCTGGCAGCAGATCCCAGAGTGATTCCGTAAGTGAAACCATAAGCTTTGCCTGCATGCACATGCTTCTGATGCTAAATGCAACCTGAACCTTTGAGCTCCTGCAGGGAGGAGAGCCCTTCTCCCATGAGCAACAGGAACCCTGAGCTGTGTCATGCCAAGCTAAGGGATGATCCAGCATCTGAACGTGCTGATGACCAGTAGCAGGGAGAAAGCCATGGTAGGAGATCTTCCCAACTTGGTCCTTATCACTTCAAGGATGGTTTGAAGCGCAGGTGGTGTTTATGAATATATTGTTCCTGCGGGAACTTACTCATGAGCAAGGAAAAGGCTTGTGACCCTAAACCCATTTCTGGGGAGCTGCAGGAGAGAATGGCTGGTCTCCATCCCAGGGCAGATGTGGGGCATGCAGGCACAGATGTTATGGCACAGCGCTTGCCTCCTGCCCGGCCCCAGGCCTGGAGATGCTTCTCAGGAGATGGTATGGTGCTGCAAACCCACTGCCAGTGTCCCACAGGATGTCCCAAGCCAGGTGAGATCTGGAGCCATCAGTGTAGGGGACAGCTGGGGACACCACAGGATCTTCAGGTCCTGCTTGGGGCAGGCTGGCAACTCTGGGATGCGAAAGACAGATAGGTATTGCAGAAATGTTGTGTGACGGGGGTCACAACTTCTTCTCTGAGCTTAACCTTGGGGTGCAGGCCCTGTTGTGGGCACAACCAGCATTCACAGTGCTCATGTTTGGAAAAAAATTAACTCTGCAGGTTATTTGCAAAGTTGCCTGTCTGCCTAACAACTCGCCTGTCCCCCCTCTTGTCCCCTGTATGCCCCTCCTGGGTTTGCTGGCAGCAATTGCCCAGGTGTTGCCAACTCAGAACGATGTGCTTCAATAATAGAGACCCAGCAACCCTCCATGCAGCAACTGCAAAACCCATGAGGTGGCCTCCAAAGCCTACAGATCTTAGACCAATAAAGGAGCATTTGATTTCTGCTTACAGCCCGGCTTTTGGGCCTTCAGAGTTGGCATTTTCACAGCTATTCAAAGATTGGGTTTGGTGGATAAAACCCAAATGTCCTACCAGTAGTTTTCCCCAAAAGTTGCCTTCAAAACCTAGTGGTCCCCCTCAAATGCCCCAATGCTAGGACCCTTCATCCTTCAGGAGAGCAGGCTCAAGCAAGGAGGGACTTTTCCAGGAGGCACATGATGATGTTTCAGATCATGCCAAGCCTCCCCTGCCTCACTGGAGCAGTTGCATGGCTGCAGCTCCTGGGGAGACCATCATCTCACCACTTCTTGGAGCCCTCCCAGGTTCTCCAAACTGCTGGTGAGCAACCCACCTGTAGCACCACAGCAGCCTCTATTCCCATCTTGTGTCCTTCATGGTTTCCTACCCACCAGCTTCGCTCAAGAGGTGTCCACTGTCCTTCTGAAGTCATTCGTGCCCGGGACTGCAGGAAGCCTTCTTCCAACCTGTATTTTTTTTTGCCCAGGCTTGCTGCTGTGCGCTGGGATGTGGGTGACCCCCAGCTCGCCTTTCATTAGCTGTAGCAAAGCTTTGGCTTAAAACTAATTATAAGCAAGGAAAATAATGACATAGCGTATCGTGTTTGACACTGGAGCAGACCAGATGCCTCTCAGCCAGCAGTGTGATGGACTGACAGCCTGATGGGATTCCTGACCTGATGTCATGGGACCACCAGCTCACGTCCCACCCAGGCAAGCTCATGGGAGAGCGAGCAGGTTCCTCAACATCACAGCAGAAACCTGCCATGAGATACCTAGGTGAGATCCTCATTCTCCCACCTACCCAGCAAGAACCCGTCCAATTGCCAGTCTGTCCCCCATGTGCTCCCCATCGCTATCTTGTGGGTCAAGACAAAGATGGGGAGTCACTTGGTAATTACTGTCATGGGCAAAACAGATTCAAATTGGGGAATTTAACTTAATTTATCATCAATTAATACAATATAAATATTTGAGTACTGATTCAGGTTTTGGAAACAAACAAAAAAACCCACAAGCGTTTTCACACTTAGGGAAAGCACCTCTCCTTCCCTTCGCCAGGCTCAGCATTGCTCCCAGCATCTCTGCTCCTCCTTGTTATCCCTGCAGGTCACACTTGGTCCCCTTGGTGAAGCAACAGGCGATGGCAGGGGGATGCAGTCAGGTTGTAGCAGTTTCCTCACTGCCACTCCTTCCGTCTTGCTCTTTTCCCATGCTCTGCTGTGACTGCTCAACACTCACGTCTTCCTTTGGAGGTGTACCTGCTCTGTCATGGGCTCATTCCTTTGGGGATATATATGCTCCAGCATGGGTCCTCCGTGGTCATCACTCCCTTCAAGGGTTGCCTACTCTACCATGGAGCACCGCTTCATCATCCTCCTCTGAACTGCTACATAGACTGCTGGAGCAATGTTGGCCCCCCTGAGCCACGTGTTGCTGAGAAGCAAAGTGTCCAGCACCTGCTTGGACACCATCCTAGAAGCGTAGGATATCTCAGGCTGGAGAGGACCTCAGCAGATCTCTAGTCCAGCCATCTGCTCAAAGCAGGGTCAGCTCTGGTGTCAGACCAGATTACTCAGGTCTTTGTCCCATCAGGTCTTGAAAACCACCTGGTATGAAAACTGGGTGACCTGCTCCACTGCTTGACTGTTCTGATGTTCCTCCTTCTCCCACACAGGCAAGCAACCTCTCAAGCCCCAAACCCCCAAAATCCTTTTCAATTTAAATTACAAACTGAGAGGGTCAGAAAAAATTTTGAGGAATACCATTTTTTGACAATTTGACTGCTTTGCCCTGGCATTTGCCTTTCTGACATTTATCTGCTGGTCCACAGCATGCAGAGTCTCTCAGCACAATGCCCTATCACTCACCAGGTCATATTCTTTGGAGATTTCCAGGACCAAAGCTTTGTGTCCAGGCTAGGGAAATGAGCAAATTCTTCTTTTTTTTTTTTTTTTCCCTCCAGCTCTGTTTGTTCCCCTTGCTGCTCTGGTTCAAGGTCCATGCTGCTGCTTGGACTCAAGAACTTGCTCACAGCAGAGCTTGCTGCTTCTGCACACCACAAGCAGATATGCAATGAGGCCACTGACTCAACCGAGGTCACTGGGATGACTTCCCTGGGACACACAGACCACTGCAGAGCAGAACTGCAGCACAGATCCTCAGAAACCATGACAGTTCAGAGCATGGACATCTGTGATCGTAGCTGGTCTCCTGCAATTCCTCCACCACCTGTGGCCATGGTATGACCCCAGGGATGGGAAAAGGATGTGAAGTGAGGTAAGAGAAATGGAGACAAGCCACCTTCACCACTGACATTTGTTTCTGTTTAGTTGTGGGACTGCCCCAGGAGGAAGAGCTGGCTCAGAGGGATGTTTGTGAAAGTCCACTGCCACCGCTTGGTGTCATTGGTTTCCCAGGCTTAGCAAAGTTCTTCCTGTCATGCTCATTCACACAGGACTGGCTCTCCTGCTACGCCCTCAGCAAAGACATCAGGCCCCAGGTTGGTGTGTTCCTTCCCTCAAAGTGTCGTGAGATCTCCCTTCCATAGGAGACCAACAAACCAGGCAATGAGGAAGGGAAAAAGGTTGCCGTTGGGAAGCAAAACAATCTTAGTCTTCTAAACACCTTTGCCATGCTCCTCCAAGGAAAGCTCTTCTCATCCTGACATGGACACCAAAAACTGACCTGGCCGAGGTAAACCAAACCAGTACAGAGTCTGATACAGCCTGAGGAAGCAGATATCCAGAGCTTGGCACCCCTATTGTCTTGAAAATGATTTCCAGGTCACAGGGAGCAGGGCATCCTAGTGCAGAGGAGCCAAGGTTAAATAAGGGTAGGGTTGCAAACCATCTGGATGCTCCATCAAGGATATAGAGGCCTTTTTGCCACGACAAGACCCAACAGCTCATTGCAAAGCACGGGCAGCATGGAAAGGGGAAGGACACAGAATGACACAGAAGGATCTCATGTAAAGGCAGACTGTGGACAGAAAGGATGTGTATCCTGAATCCAGCGCTGGTGCCTTCAAAACAGTCCAGCGCCATCATATGTGCTCAGGTGGCCAGCTTTCCTTGTTCAGCTGTAGGGACTGAGGATGGGGTCTCCTGGGAGGTGAAGAGAAGGGAGATCTAAGCCATGTACCAACTTCCCCTCCTCCTCCACCTGAGCATGGCAGAAGCACTTTGGAAAACAGTGATATGGGACTCTGTGGTGAAGCATTTCATTGCATCAGGTCCTTGAGTTCCAGCTGAGGCCCCCAAGAAGGTGGTGGTCAGCTAAAGATGAGCAGGAGACATGGTCTGGTAGACCTCTGGTAGGCCTCTGGTAAGAGGCCTGAGAGAG